CTTATGCACATTAAACAAGTGTACTGTAGATTTCAACAAAGTGTAGTTAGACATAAATTTCAACAAAGTGCAGTTTGGCAGACGATTAAGTGTTGAACAGCCATAGGGATATACATGTACCTCTCTATTCTAATAACGTTTGCATGGTTTCCTCCCATGTTACTGACATCAGGTTAAAACGTTCTTCCTTAATCCAGTGGGGAATTAATGTATACTGTTCAAAAAAAGAAACGCATAACCAAATTGGCCATCGTGTATAATCGTATTTATAGCAGTGAATAACTTTTGATATGAATGAAGGAAAGAAAATACATTTTGAAATTTTATTCATTGCTGTTTATTGATTATCAACAAAGTTGAATTGATTTTGAACAATCAGTTGGATGCTCAAATCGGCCCGTCCGAGGGCGGCCATTCAGTACCGAGTGTGGCCTCCTGCTGACTGGAGTACCGCTTGACATCTTCTAGGCATCGAGGCGATGAGACGACGAATGTTGGGAAGTGATATTGCCCTCCACTCTTCATCCAAGGCGGCAAGCAGTTCATCAGGAGTGGCAGGGGTGACAACTCTGTTCCGGAGACGTCTGTCCAAAACATCCCAAATGTGTTCTATAGCGTTCATATTCGGTGAATTTGAAGGCCATGGGAGTGTCTGGACATTGTTCCTAGCCAGAAAGTCTCTAGTTACTCTGGCAGTATGTGGTCTGGCATTGTCCTGCTGGAAGACTGCCCCTGGCTGTTGAAGCAATGGAAGGGCATGTGGTAGGAGGACGTTGTTGATGTAGGCCTGGGCTGTCAGATTACCTTGTACTCTGACCAGGCGCTCCTTCCAGTGTGGCTGATTGCTCCATACACCATCACACTGCCACCACCATGCAAATAGGCCTGGGAGATGCATCCAGCAGCGAACCTCTCATTTCGATGTCGGTAAACTCGACGTCGTCTGTCGTGTCGAGAGATTAGAAAATTGGATTCATCACTGAACCATACGTGCCGCCAGTTCTGTAGCTTCCAGTTGACGTGCTGAGTGGCCCATTGTCGTCGCTGTTGGCGATGGTGGTCCGTCAACAATGTTCTTAAAGGTCGATATGCGCAGAGCCCTCTTTCTCTAAGTCGGTTGCGCACAGTCTGGTCGGAAATTTTGGTGACATTCTGAAGCGCGCGCTTGGGCCGTTGGAGAGGAAGGCACAAAACGATCCTGCAAGTGATGAAGCTGAATAAAGCGATCCTGGGCTCGAGTTGTTGCCCTTGGATGTCCACTTCTCAGTTGATCGGCAGTGGGGTTTTGACTGTTGAAACCTTGCAAAAAGTCGGCTGATGGTAGACTGTGACTCGTTGAAATGTGTGGCAACATCAGTTTGTCTTTCTCCGGCTTGCAAACATCCAATAGCCTGGTTTCGCCCTTCTATCGTTAGTCGTGGCATTATGTATCGCTTAACGGACAAGTGATGAAACAAAATTATTTTCGCCCATTATACAGACACCCACAGAATGAACTCGCACGCCAAATGTTTTGCGACTACTCACAAAATTAGACAAGTTGTGAGCTTTTTAACACTCAATTATCACACAATTCAACTGCTCAGGCTGCGCCAACCTGTGATCAAACAATGAAATTTTGTTGTGAAAAGTTCAAGACAACAAGTCTGTTATATGTGTGAAAAAGACTAGCCAGCAGAAAACCTAATCTTTACATATTTTAATATCACGAAAACACATGCACTTGGTTATGCATTTCTCTTTTTGAAGAGTATAATAGAGGCTATGCATTAATAGTACAGTATGTTTCATTATAATAAAATATTTTTATTTTAATATGTATAATTGTAGGTCGGTCTATACTTGTAAGCATAGTAATGTGTGTAAGTTTATATTATTATGTGGGTGTGGAAGAGAGAGTGTGTGAGAG